TTCATTTTTGGGATATAGATTCATTGTGATAGATCTTGTGGTGTTCTTGATTTATCACAAACCACCTATATTGAGTGGGTACTTAAAAATTCAGAATGGATTCATGTTCTCCCTCACTTGCTCCTGTTCAAAAAGGTGAACCATTGTCAGAATTACAATGTCCTAAGGATGATAAAAGAGGGCTGAAATAAGAAAAGATACCATATGCTTCTACTGTTAGCAGCCTTATGTATGTTCAGGTGTGTACTTGACCAGATATAGCTTTGTTATTGGAATGATAGGTCGATACTTAAATGATCCAAGTTCAGATTATTGAAAAGTTTCTAAGAAAGTTATGAGGTATCTTCAAGGTATAAAGATTATATGTTAACCTGCAAAAGGTCAGATTCTCTTAAGGTTATTGGGTATTTTAAATTTTGATTTTAAAAGATTAGAAGATCTTGAACTTGTTGGCTTTTCATATTTAGATTTTGGCTCCTGTCTGGATAATCTTAAGTCCATGACCGGCTACATTTTCATGTTGTTTAGAGGAGTTGTTTCTTGAAAAAAGTGTGAAACAAACACTTACATCAATTTCATCTATGAAAGCTGAGTATATTGTTTGTTTTGAGACCACATGTCAAGTTATATGACTGAGAAAGTTGATATTTGGCATGCACCTAGTTGAGTCAATATCACGTCCTCTAACCATTTATTGTGATAACAAATCTATAATATACTATGCTAATAACAACAGAAATTTCAGTCCTACAAAGCAGTTGGTATCAAACTTCTATTTGTGAAAGAGAAAATTGTTGAATCTTAAACCCATGTGATACACATCCTGACATGTAGATGCTTGTAGATTTTTTGACCAAGGGCATACTTGTAAGAGTTTTTTTAAAATCATGTAACTTGTATGAGTTTTGTAAATTCTTTTGGTTCCCTAGTTTAGTAGGAGTCTGAGGATCTTTTGTATTGCAATTTCTCTTTAAGCTTTGTTTTTCTTCTATGAGTTATGTTCAGTTCAGTTCAGTTAAATGCGTCTATATTATTTGTATTTCCTATAGGATTCAATGATTCTGTTGTAGTACGCATGCATATCACTTGTTTTTTATAAGAATCAGTGATTTATATTTTTATTTTACTGAATTGTATTTGGAATAAAATTTCGTATTCTGTTCTATTCAAATTATAAGGCATTATATCACTATTGCCTCATAAGATCTAGTGACTTTGTGAAGTTTTATTTTTTGAATTTTTTTAGCTTGTTTGTACAATTTGCTTAATTAATGCAATCTAAGAGATTGTTAGAATATTTATAAATATTATGGATTTGCATTAGTTTAATGAAGTCCAAATAAATTGATCTTATGATCTTGTGTAATCGTGCTAGGTGAATCACACAAGTAAATCCAATAGGCAAAGGTCCAACCTATATCCTTGTAGCCATTAGTTATTTTCTATCTCTTAACTGACTGAGTCAAAAATAATGTGAAATAATTAATTAATTTAATTTATTAAAGTGGTTATTGATTTGGTTCATATAAGTCAATCAGTTGATAACCACAAGCACCACGATACTTTCACTTTCTCCATTATCCTAAAACTCTTTGAAATTGTAAGAGTCTAGTGGGTTGTGCATCTGCATATACTCGAGATAATCGAGGCATCTCAAGCCGTGATGAATTCTTCAGGTACGCACACATTACTTTGCTTAATATTATTTATTATACGAATTGAGAATTAAAGTTAATATAATATTCAAAATTGTCAGTGGACAAATTTTATTTTATACAATTATACTAATGTTTGCTTGGCAAGAGAAAAAAGTGGAGAGAAATGACAATTTCTTCCATTTGGCTATGGGGATAAAAATAAAAGGGAAGAAAAAATTAGAAGAAAAATAACATGTGCGATCTACATGTTTTTACCTTCAATTTTCTACTTTAAATATGGAAAGGTTTTGAAAGAAAAAAAAATTAATTTTCAAATTTATTCATGAATCTTTTGTTTCTTTCTTGTCACCCCCCTCCATTTTTCATTCTAGTTTCCTCCACTTTAGAATTATTAATTATATATTTAATAAACTTAAGAAATAAAAATTAAAATTGGACAAAATCTTCTTTCATTAGCATCGGATAAAATAATTTACAATTATATTTTATTTAATCAATAATATATAATAAAATTATATAAATAAATATGTCAAATAGTAAATTTTATTATTATACTAATGAGGTTGTTATTGTTCACATAAAATTAATTATTTTTTTTATTTTCTCACTCAGCCAAGCATATAATGAGAGAAATTACATCCATTACTTTTCTCTTCTTTTCATTTGCTCTTTTCACATTCTTTCTCTTTCTATTTTCTCTGTGAGCCAAGCAAAGGATAAAAGAGAATATTTAAGAATTATCTGGAGACAATCTCCAAATCTCTTTATTTATCATTGCATTATCATAAAATGATAAAAAAAATACATAAAAATAATAAACGTGAGATACATTTTTAATTTAATGTAAGTCAAATTTCGAGAATTATTGTGGCAGGATTTTGCAAATTAAAGGAACATCTAAAATACTAGCACCGAACAAGTTTCCAATTTAAAAAAATTAAAAATTCCAAAATAATTTTAGCACGTGGAATTGTGAACAAATTTTGAAAAAAATAAAATAAAAAATCTCTTTGAATTATTAAAGAAGATTTTTAGTCTCTCAAAATGTCATAATTCTCCTAATCTTTTAAGGGCTTTTTATCATTAAAGAATTAATGTAAAAGACTAAATTGCCTTTAATTGAAATAAAAATCATAAGCCTCAAAAACAGATATTTGTGCCCTTAATTTGCATTTTTTTAAGATTCACAACTTTTTTTTTTCTTAAAATCACAAGAATTTAGCAGCAATTTGCAAATTCACATTTAAAATCTGATATTCCTCAAATGTTACAAATATTAATTATCATTTATAATTTTTGCTATAAGATTCACAATTTTTCTTTTTAAATTTGCAAGAATTCAGCAGCAATTCACAAATTTTTATTTAAATCCTGATATTCTTCAAATGTTATAAATATCAATTGCCATTCACGAATTTGTTCTAATATTTACAATGTTTTTTTTTAAATTGCAACAATTCAACAATAATTTGCTAGTATCTATTTTGAGGCTTGAGATCTTTATTTTAATCAAGGGCAATTTGACTTTTGAGAGACCAACATATTATTTAGATACATTAAAGGAATTTTAGTATCATTTTCCCTAATCTTATGTTATTTGATCATATAAAAAGAATATATAAGAATGATCCGTACAAAACTTTTCACATGTCTTTATTTATTTTTGTATTATTTAAAAAATGATAGAGGTGAGAGTGAGATATGATTTTAATTTAATGGAATCAAATTTTATTTTAAGGTTAATTTTGAGTTATAAAATAAAGAAACAAAACAATTGTGAAAGGCAAAAGGAACAATACGGAAGAAGAGCATAGAGAGAATTATGTGGTGGGATTTTGCAAAATGGTCCCCGAATGGTAAGCGAAGGAAGAGACACGTGGAAATAAATAAAAAGATTTGAGGAGAGAAGACGAGATATTTTGGGTGATAAAGCACGAGGGCGCACGGAACAGGGCAAATTGGGGGAGAGAGAGTGTAACAGAAACACAGAGATCGACTGGGACTGAAACAGAAAAAGTGATCGACTGGGACTGAAACAGAGAGATCGAAACACAGGAGAAAGATGGGAAAGAGAGAGAGAGACATTAGAATTCCAGACAGATGAGGAAGAAGATGAGGAAACCCAGAAGGTATGTTTGGTTCCTTCGTCAAACTTTGTTGTAGATCCGACTGCTTTGTATTTATATGATGTTCGATGTTTTCTGTCTTCATTAGTCTCCACAATCTCGCCTTTGTATCATGACCAAAATTCACATCGCCTATGAGAATTTCAACATGTTATGGTTTGTGGTTTTGCTTCCCCGCGCGTTTATTAACATCTCCACTGTGTTTGATTGCTTTCTCACTCACTGTTCCACTCGTTTTAGACGTAAATTTTGGTTCATTGATCTGTGAATCTTGCTCGTCTCTGAATCAAATAAGTGTCATATACCTGTTAGAAATTTTCTATGGATCGTGAATATGTTTTTGGTTGCTTCAAATTTGCTCGAAATCACGTTTTCTGGTGTTGGGTCCGAAAACCCGTTTCAGACCCGCGGGTCAACCCACTAGAATTGAAGAACCTCCAACAAGTGCTGAAATTTTGCAGGCTTTCCTTTCAGATTTTTTTTTTTTTTGGGAGTAAAAACTGAAGCTTCATTCCAATAAAGGAGCTAACAGATACAAGAAGTAATGAAAAACAAAGATAAAACCATTCACTACAAGAAAACAAACACATCTTGTGTTTATTGGAATGAAGCATGGAGCATGATCAAAGATCCCTTTCACATTTTTTTTAGTAATCTATATAGATATATATATATATATATATTCTTCATCAAAAAATATAAAGCATTTTTTGGAAGGTTCAATTTTAAAAAATGTAAGATATTTTTAGTATTTTAAGTATAATTATTGTATTTTTTCAAAAGTCTTCCAATAAATATATCACTTTATATTTATTTTAAGTAAATAAGGGTAAATATAAAAAAATAATGTTAGGTTGAAGATAATAACTACTTTTTTAACGGCGAATGGGGGAGTATATAAATTTTATCTGAACCATGAAAATTAATTTGAATTTTTCAATTGAAGCTGAAATTATTTGATTTTGAAGGGGTGAATTTTCTGGGATGTAAATTTATGTACCGTGGACTCGTAGTTCATCTTCATTCTCCCTGGAAATGTATGGAACGTATACTCTCCATTTCATACTATTAAGGAATTAAAAGTTACGTTATATCTATTTTTTTAACTTTCATAATTAGTTCGCGTGCTCAAATACTTATAATTAATGTCATGTGTGCCCCCTAAACTAATCTAAATAGTCTTCCTCTAATTATATTGAAGTATCAAGCAAGAATAACAGTTTTCTTTTTTCCATGTTGGGAGTGTTTTCTCTCTTTAGCTGCTGAGCCTATCCTACGGAAAAGATAAAACACAATAGTAGCTTCTTCTATTAATTCTACTCACTACAAGAGTTATAAAGCCAGCCATAATGTTCAAATTATAGTAGCTATATTTGATAGTGTTTTCTCTCTTTCTTTGAGTTCTAAGCCACTCTCACTTTCTTGTGGGCCTTGGTTGAGTTCTTAAATTTATCTTTAAACCATCTTTCTACTGTTTGAATTTATGGGTCTCCTTAGATAATTTTGTGAAGATGCTAAAAAATATCTGTTATTGGTAACCTGACCTGTAAACAATAATTTATAATATATTGCTTTTTGTGGGTTTTATTTATCTTTCCTTTATTTTGAAGCATAAAGAACGGCCAAAAAGAAGAAAGTAGTGGCAGCAAACGCACATGCATGGAGCATCTATGTACATTGCCAATCATACAACGTCTTCTCTCCAAGTAATTACTTATTTAAATTCTATAAGCTATAATTAAATTAATATCTTTAAATTCATTTGAACGATATATGACTACAAACATAATTTTGCTCATCAAGACATCAACAGTAATGGAAAGAATTGAAACTATACTTTGTTACGCATCTTTAATTTTTATTTCTTTATTTATTATTGTAAAATAAAGAGACAAAAAATAAGTGTGAAAAGGAAAATAAATCATAAATAAGAAGAATATGTAGAGAATTATTCTGGCAGGATATTGCAAAATATCATTCCGAATGAGAAGCGAAGAAATAAATAAAAAGATTTGGGCAAAGAGCAGATTATATTTTGGGTGACTAAAGCAATAGCTGTGCCAAACAGGAAGAAAGCGCGAGGAGAGAGAGACTTGAAAGAAAAAGTAGATCCAGAGACTAAGACTGAAACAAGGACTGTGAGACATCAGAATTGCAGAGAGAGGAAGAAGATGAGGGAACGCACAAGGTATGTTTGGTTCGTTCATTGTTTTCTGTAGTCTGTTGTTGCCTCCTTTTCTTCTGTCTCAGTTCTTTTCATCAAACTAATCTTATAGGTAAAGCACATGAAAGGTATATGAGAGGGAAAAAAAAGAATGCCATAAATGTGAAGATACATATAATAAATTTCACAATAACTAAATAAAAAATTATTTTTTATATAATTTAGATCCACTAAAATATTATAAAATCTAAAATCACTAAATAATAATCGCATTTTAATATTTTAACCGAATATGATATATTGGTTTTTTTGGGTTATATCTTTCCTTTACTTTGAAGTATAATGAACGGCCAAAAAGAAGAAAGTAGAGGCAGCAAACGGACATGGAGGGAGCACATAGAACAGTGTTTTAATTGTGTGTGTAAATGGCCAATCGTACAGCATCTTCACACCAGGTAATTACTTCTTTAAATTTTAGAAGCTATAAATTAGTTTCTTTAATTTCATTTGCATGATATGATTAATTACAAACATAATTTTGTTCATCGACACTAACAGAAACAATTGAAACTATACATTGTTATGCATCACTTCATGTTAGTTCACATATTTTTTAACAAAACCACCTTTTTAAAGGGCAACAAATGGTGAAGAAGAAGAACAAGAAAAAGAAGGAAGCGACAACGATCAAAAGATGCTAATTGCAGAAGATGATGACATAAACATCGAAGAAGCAGCTAGCAGCAACAGTGAAAAAAAGGAACATATGACTGATGATGAGAGAAGAGCAACAAACATTAAAGAAGAAGGAATATGTTACAGTAAGTGGTCACAAGTGGGAGATGATATCTTGGGCTTGATTCTCGAACGCTTATGCCTTAGTGATTACCTTCGAAGCCGAGCTGTATGCTCAGGTTGGCAGTCCATTGTCACTAAATACATTGCCAAGAAGCAGTGCCTTCCACAGCCTGAACTGCCACTTCTTTATCTTCAAACAATGGCCAGCCAAAAACTTTCCGTTCTTTGTCTTGCCCACAGCAAGTGTCTTCCAGTTCAACTATACAGTGCCACCACTCGAATTCATCCATTATTGCTACGGCACAGTACAAGGTTGGATGATCATGATTGAAGCTTCCCACGATTATTTTAATGTTCCTGAAACTGATGTTCGGATCTTCTTCTTCAACCCGGTAACAAAGGCCAAGGTTTACTTGTCATCAAGGTTGAAAGTGAAAAGTAAAGTTAAAAGAATTGTGGCATCCACAAATCCCAATGACCCAAACTGTGTTGTGGTATGTATCTTTTACCTCGAGAATATTTTTGCCTTCAAATGGACTTTTGATGAGTCATGGACTATAGTCGTTGAAGATCCTATGACAAGAATCAACTTCATGCACGTAGAGATTCTCCATGGAAAATTGTATGCTTTCACCAATGCATCTAAAGATTCTTTAATTTCTTATGACTTGAAAAAACAACCTCTAAAACTTGAGATATTAGCTAAGCTTCCTCTAGTAATGCCTAACATTATTAGGACTGAGATAGTTCCCCCTAGGTACTTAATAGAAGCTAATGATCACATTCTTAGGACTTTGGCTGTTGATTCTTCATCCGGAGAACTATTGCTTATTTACCTGTATTACACCGCATTCTTTACATACAATTGTGGGGGCTATGAGACAAAGGAGTTTGCCAATCCGCCCGAGATTGTAGACAGTAAAGTGTACAAGTTGGACATGAGCGACGAACCTTGCTGGATTGAGGTTGAAAACTTGGAAAGTCTTATGTTATTTGTCGGCTATTGGAAGACTCTTGTATTGTCATCACGTGTTGCTCCTCATATCCCTCAAGAGTTGATTAAAGAGAATTGCATATATTTTGCCTATCGGTTTCCATGTATTGAAGGCACGGATGAATGGAAGGGCCTGAAAATTGGGAGACATTGTAGGACTGAAAGAAGGATTGAATACTATGGATTTGAAAAATCAAGTTTTACTGACGTGCCATATCCTGCTTGGTTCATACCAAATCTTTGATAACTCTAACGTGATACGTATTATTGGAGATATTTTCTTATGCGAGAAACATTATTATTGTCTAAAATGTTATTGTCTTCCAGGTGATCTATATCTATTCTTGTTTTTTTTTTTACTTGCACATTTCATATTGTTCTTTGAATTAGAATCTATTTTGGCTCCTATTTCATTTGTCATCATATTGCTTAATTTGCATCAAATACAAAAATTACACCTCTTGAAAAAAACATGTGCAATGCAGACCTAAATTGGTTCAAAAATCAGTTTGAGAGACACCATGTCTCTCATCAAACGTAAAGCGTGCTTCACACCCATAACAAATTAGTCTACTTCTACAACGTAAAGTGCGAATATTAGGTGCGAAATATAAGACAGCAAGTTTATATAACTTATCTTTTAGAAAGAGGGATATCACTTTGCAAGGCTGCAATTTCACGAGGCTGCAAGTAATCTTTCTTGATGAGTAATGGTTATAGCTACCCGTTTTTTTTTTTTTGGCATCCAATGGCTCAACAGGTGAAAGTGAAACTTGAGTAAGCAAATTTAATATCCGAGGGACTATATCATGCACCTGAATAACATTTAAGAAACATACAAGGGTCCAGATTTTAAGAGAGTAAAACCATTTGGGTGCAAAAAATAAAGTGAAGAGAGCAATTAATTAGAATGTTCTTGAAACAATCAATTACCTGATCCATAGACGTTACAATTTTATGGGTCCATCCATAACAGCAAAAGACTCATCTAGTTCTTCTTTTAAAGGAAAAACTCTCAAAAACCTTGAATAACCTGTTAAATGTATTCAAGAGAAATTTAGATAATACCAATAGGATTTTTTGGGCTATGAAGTGCTTTTACCAATATAAAATTTCTGAACAAGACACGAAGAGTCAAAGATATTGTTTAAGAATGCTGGTTTAAATTATGAGTGTGCATATTAAAGATACGAGAAGTTACTTGATCCAATAGAATCAATTTAAGGTGCATGTCTATCATCTTTTTCACAGCAATAGCTATATTATCTATCACTCTCACATTTGTCTCACTTTCGGTAAGCGGAAGAAGAAGGCGAAGCAATAACTTCGGATATCTAGTATTGTGTTAAAGAAGTTACTTTGATAGGCTATGCTGATAAAATTTTTCAGATGATATTGTGGTGAAGAATGCTGATTCTGGGTTTTGTAAATATTTAGCTTCTGTTTGGGATATATAAGAAGAAATTGGTGGGTAGAAGTGAGGAATGGTGAAAGTAACTCTTGTTGGGATAATTGTTGGATTAATCAGAAAATTAAGCTAGCCGATACTATTTTACAGGATGTGCCTCCAGAATTAAGGGGTTGGAGGGTGTGTGATGCAGTTAATGAGGTTGGTGAGTGGTGAAGTGACATTGAGAAGTATATGTCGTATGATGATAGATGCAGATTGCATGCTGTGATGAAAACTGATAATAGTGATAGAAGAGATAAAAATCTGTTGGGTTGGGGGACAAGGTGATTATACAGTTAAGAGTGGCTATAAATTGCTGATGGAAAATTCATGGGGGTTGAAGGACAAGATTTTGTGAATAGTATGGGGATGGTCAAGAATTGAGAGGATTAAAGTGTTTTTGTGGCTTGTGGCTAATAATAGTTTGCACACTAGTGAATTAAGGTTCAGAAGATGGGGTTCATCTCCCGCCTGTTCTGTTTGCAAGCAAAATGAGTCTATTTTAAATGTGTTAAGGGGTTGTGGTAAGGTTGCTAGGTTTTTGGCAGTGTATTGTTACAGGTGCTATATATAAATATCATCCAAAGGTAATAACAATAATTTCACTTTCATGAGATTTTTTTTTTGGGTGAATCGAGTTTTTGGGTTTTATATTAGTTCATAAGGTTCAATCAATTTATGGAAGTAATTAAGATGGTTAGGAGCAGATAACATCCAAATTGCAATGACAATTTTTTTAAAAACAAAATTAGGGGAATTGAATTGCCAAAGACTAATGAAAGCTAAAATAACATATGATGATTGAAAATGAACAAAAGTTTTTTTTAACTTACAACAGATTCTCAAATTTTGACATAACAACCATTCATAACAATAACTTTGGATATTATATCATTTAAATTTTAGTGTGTGTGTGTGTGTCAAGTGAAAAAATGACTTGTTTATCCAAGAATAACTCTAAGAAAGTGCCTAAATATAACATGTAATTAAGGTATCGATGTAAAATTTCTAAAAGTCGCAACTCAATATATAACACAGTTATGAGATAAAACATTTTTGAAGGGCTGCTCTCAATTAGATTCAATTAATAATATTTAAATCTAACCTAATCAAATAGTTACATGAAAAAAGAACATGAATCATAGCATTCAAGTTGTATTAATGAAGAAATTAAACTTGAAGGACATGACTATCTCAACATATTTATAACATTCTAGGGACAATGCTAAATAAGAAACCCCACAACGATTGAATCTAGAAATTAACTTTTCAAAAATTGAACACATAATTTCTTGTTTAGATCATTTGGGTTAAATGTAACTTGTTTAGATCATTCACAGTTGATGAGAGAGAATAAAATAATAATTAGTAATGAAGGACTGCCATATCATTAAAGGGTTATCTTGTGAGATCACATCATTGAAGTTCTTGTTACAAAACGATTATATCAAGACCTGTATATGTGTCCATATATGTTCTAGTCAACTCTAAGTTCTTGGAAATAGCCTTTTGCAACAAGGCAAGCTTTGAATTGAGTGTGAGACTTGCATCGAAAAAGCCACTTACAACCAATAGTTTTTTTATCTTTAGGAAGAGGAACCAGTGTCTATGTCTTGAAACGCAGCAGAGCACCGTATTCATCCTTAACAGCTTGAGCCCAACTTGGATGAGATAAGTCCTCAAAGACATTGTTTGGTATAGCATCATCAGTGTGGGCAAGAAAAATCTTAGGTTTAAAAATTCTAGATTTAGCCCTGGTGGTCATAAGGTGATTATTTATGAGAGAGGTAGGAAAAGGAGAGGACGTGATGGGAAAGGAAGAGGACAAGGCAGTAGCTAGGAATGATGAAGTAGAAGACGTAATAAGTGAGAAAGAGGAAGATGTAGGAATGAAAGGAGAAGGCAATGGTGCTGTTGAGGGCATAGGAAGGGTGGAAGAGTAAGAAGGAGTAGACTTAAAAGATGAAGTAATAGAGGGTGGAGAAGGAGAGGAGGTGTGTGGTAAACCTGGTAGAACATATTCATGGAAAATGACATGACTGATATATATAGGCAACCAGTAAGAGGCTCAAGATACTTGTACATTATGTTAAGAGCTGTAATCAAGAAAAAGACATGGAGCTGAACGAAACTCAAGTTTGTGAGTGTTATAAGAATGTAAACATGGGTAGCATTGGCATCCAAAAACTTTGAGTAAAGAATAGTCAGGATTAACGCCGTATAATTTCTGAAAAGGAGAGAAATCTCCAAGAGCTTTAGTTATGAGACAATTAATCAGAAAGATAGTGGTTGTAAAAGTGTCTGGCCAATAATAAAGAGGAAGAGATGCAAGAGCAAGAAGAGACAAGCCAACCTCAACAATTTGTTTGTGCTTATGTTCAACAAGTCCATTTTGTTCAAATGTATGAGGACAAGTGAAACGATGTTGAATACCACATTTAGAGATAAATTTTGTGAATACCACAAATTTACCACCATTGTCAGTTTGTAACTGTTAAATTATTGAAATGTACTTCAACAAAGGCTTTGAAAGTACGAAAAATAGAGAGTGCTTCAGATTTCTTTTTGAGTAAGTATATCCAAGTGAACGAAGTACATGCATAAATAAAAGTAAGATAGTAATAGTTCCCATTTGAAACAATAGGATCAGGGCCCCAAATATCATTTATTACAAGTTGAAAAGGCTTAGCATACACAGTAGTAAAGCCTTAAAAGGTAGTTTATGGATTTTCCCTAAACAACAAGCATTACAGGGAGAAAGCTTAGAGTTTTATAAGTAAGGTACATCATAAATGCGAAGAACATGTTTGAGAACATCAGCAGAGGGATGTCCAAGATGATGGTGCCAAATATCTAAAGATTTTGAAGAGGATGCTTGAAAACAAAA